GGAGGACTTCCTCTTCCAACGGTACCTTCAAATCGCGGCGCCAAAGAAATCGGAATTGTGCCTAAAAGTATAAAATGTGGATTTATTTAAAAGTTTATAGTGTAATTAATAGCAGGAACAGTGAAAAACTATCTTATGGGCGTGCAATGTAAGTGCACAGGCATGGATAATATGATACGAGACTTTAGCATTGGTTCTCTTTTTCTCTCAAAACGCGTTCCCTGATTATTTGACAGCGATGGAGATCRGGGAATTTCTGACAGAAGTAAACCGCTATAATTACCTGACAAAATTAGTGTGAAATGAAATTTCATTGAACTGTGCGAACATATTTTGGCAAAATAAATGTTTATGTAAATTAATTTATGATTTTGCATTTTAGCATTTATACATATATGTATGCATTTTCAAAGTGTTTAATTTAGTGTTTTGTATAATTTATTAAATACCCAATCTAATATTTTTCAGCAGTGGCATCATTGGCAAATGTTATAAAAAATGCGAGTTTTGACAGCTCTCTCTCGAGGTCAAAGAGTCTCCTATCATATTATCCATGGCACAGTGAAAAACGCTACTCCCTTCTCTCTTTGACGTAGGATGACGTGGGAATCTACAGCATTTTGGTTTTTGCCATGGAAACGTGTCAGCTGATTGCTCTCTCACAACCGGGGGTTGCCAATATCTATATACTGTAGTAATTATCAACTTTTATAATTGAATCAAAATCGAAGTCGAATGCTATTATTTATAAATATATAAACTATTTTTAATGGTTTGTTTTCAGTTTTGATATTTTATATTATAAAGAAATTTAAAACATAGATGTGTACAAAACTATATATGCGCACTGAGCAATGGCAACATTGTGCAAATGAAAACAAAGACGGCTGAATTCTGCGTTTTTGCTACGTTTTTCACTGCTTGCCGATGAGGAAGGAAAAGGAAAGAAGGAAGTAGCGTTTTTCACTGGCTCTGCTATAATTAATTTGAAGTGTAAAATGTGTGTTTAATGTGGTGAAATAGCTTTTTGAAATGTTCGAATTATGCGAATTTTTGAACTTTAAATTCGAATATCTCGTAAACCAAAAGTTTGCAGTATCTATAACMCTATATATTTTTTAATCAGGAGGACTCCCTCTTTCCTACCTTCAAATCGCGATGCCAAAGAAATCGGAATTGTGACGATTTCAAATATAAACATTTTTCCATACCTATAGAAGATAAGTTTCTTTTAGTTCCACTTTTTTTTTATAGAATGAATTTCGATGACCTTGTGGAAGAAATGGATGCCGAAATATTTTGAACTTTTTAATAACTTTTTTACCAATAAAGATTTTAAGGGGTTAAGGGTAGTCAGAATTTTCAAAAAGTTTTTTTACATTTTTGTTAAGGGTAATATCTTAAAAATATTCTCTGAAAATTTCACGTTGATCCGATAATTAGTTTTTCAGTTATTCGACAAATAACAAAGAGAGCTCGGGCACTTCAAAGCGCTAGTGTGAAACTATAAACGCGTTTTTCTCAAAACTATGTTTTTTGAACTAGTGACAACTGTAACTCGAAAACCGCTCAGCAGATTTTATTGAAAAAATTATACAGCTTTACATAATAAACTCGGGATTTTTTTCAAAACTTTTGATTTTTTAAGACCAATTAACTGTTGTTTTGTGTAGTTTCTGAAGAATAATCTCCTTCAATCAGGCCCAGGATTATCTATTTATAAAACTAATTTTTTTTTTGTCCGACTGATTTTAGATGAATCTCCATTTTAGATTGTCACCGCAAGTACCTTTCTTTGGAACTGGATCAACACAAATAACTATAACTTTGGAAATTAATTTTTTTTTTTTTAATTTTCGTGACTTCAAGTTAACACATTCTATAATAATGCCATATTACTACTTTTGTAAAATAACAGGATTTAATAGCAAAAAAAAAAAAAAAATACTGAAAATTCTCAATTTTCGTGCCTCTGACTGCCCCCAACCCCTTAAAAAAATGTTATAATCTCCTTTGCGCTCCTCAGAAAAAATTTCAAAAATTGTGATACTGTCTGGTGGCAGCTATAACGTATTAATATATAAATATATTATTATTTACTTAAAGAAAATACATTTATGTATTTCAGATATTATTCAGAAGCCATTGAGACCCTGGTAGCAAAACTCAGAAGTGGTGTTGATGACCGTCTCACTGCCATTGAAAAGGCTATACACGATAAAGTAACTAATGCAGTTTTACATTWACAAAATAAAACGTAAGCTAATTTTTATATTTTAATTTTCTAGATGCCGAGGTGCAGACACAAAGTAAGCTGTGGCGCGTCACAGCTGCAAAGACGCACCATTCAATTAGCCGCATCACCGATGATTATTCATTCGCATAGAACTCCCTTTTGTATAAGTTGCCTTCGGGCGCGCAAACCCAACACCGAGATTTATCTGAAAGATTTTGCGTTGCTGTTCAAACGATAATGAATATTTTATTGACGGTATAATCTTTCTTTTTAATTTATTTTTATTCGTTTAAATTAACATTTATTTTTTGCTTTGCTTGCACTATTTCCTTATTGTATGAATAACTGGATTACAAAAAAAATTATATATGGAAATGGAGTTACTATTGCACTATTTAATATTGAATTGCTTTAACTTCAATTAAACTGACGGAAGTTCGGAGGAGTAATAAGRGTAATAACCAATTACGGATATGTTCAAATATATATCCATAATAAATTTTTTTCTAAATAATATAACATTTATTTTCAAATCTCAATATATCTGTATGAAATCTAAACTGAATTAATAACCGTCGTCGGATATTTCAACGCTATATAGTGGAAATTTATCCAGCAATAATCTCCTAGTTTCCGCGTGGTCCGCCTTTCCAAACCCCTAGAAATAAATATTTATATAAAATATATTTTACTTATGGAATTGTTACAACCTGGGAGTAGCCATACACCTTTATTAATTTCAAATTCGGATTGTGTTCAATGCGACCACCGCCAAGACATTCTGTTTCTAATCCTAATCCTTTGCAGGATTCGCTAGCTCGGTCGTATATATCGGCTTAACAAAGAATCAGCATATACATATACTTATTTATTGAATTGTTTTGTCGGGTAAATTTTAGAATAGCATCCTCGGATTTCGGAATTAAAATGAGTATGTACGGATAGAGGAGGTCCTCTAGATTAAGATAATATATATATATGTATATAGTTACCGCTGATTTATTGTTTTTAAGATATTTGCATTTAAAGTTCAAAATTCAACTATTTCAAATGCGTGTTTTCCCCATTTTTAATGAATTTTATGGTTATATTTTTAACTTTTATATCCAATAACATTTCACTAAATCGTTTCTAACCATTTATTTTATATTAAACAGTGAAAAACCATTTCTATTAAACATTTAACTTTTTTTCAATTATTTTTGTTCGTACAATAACAAAAGGGTTGCATTCTAACCAATAATCAGTGCTACCTTTTTCTTCTTGATTGGCGTAGTCACCGCTTACGCGATTATATCCGAGTTAACAACAGCGCGCCAATCGTTTCTTCTTTTCGCTACGTGGCGCCAATTAGATATTCTAAGTGAAGCCAGGTCGTTCTCCACTTGGTCCTTCCAACGGAGTGGAGGTCTTCCTCTTCCTCTGCTTCCCCCGGCGGGTACAGCGTCGAATACTTTCAGAGCTGGAGTGTTTTCGTCCATCCGGACAACATGACCCAGCCAGCGCAGCCGCTGTCTTTTAATTCGCTGAACTATGTCAATGTCGTCGTATATCTCATACAGCTCGTTCCATCGAATGCGATATTCGCCGCGGCCAACGGTCAAAGGACCATAAATCTTTCGCAGAGCTTTTCTCATAAATCTTTCGTCGACTCATCCGTTGTTGACATCGTCCAAGCCTCTGCCCCATATAGCAGGACGGAAATTATGAGTGACTTATAGAGTTTGGTTTTTGTTTGTCGAGAGAGGACTTTGCTTCTCAATTGCCTACTCAGTCCGAAGTAGCACCTGTTGGCAAGAGTTATCCTGCGTTGGACATTGAGTTCCAAGATAGACGAAATTATCTACAACTTCAAAGCTATGACTGTCAACAGTGACGTGAGTGCCAAGTCGCGAGTGCGACGACTGTTTGTTTGAGGAGATATTTCGTCTTGCCCTCGTTCATTGCCAGACCGTTTGTGTTGCTTCCTTGTCCAKTCTGGAGAAAGCAGAACTAACTGCGCGGGTGTTGAGGCCAATGATATCAATATCACCGGCATACGCCAGCAGCTGTACACTCTTATAGAAGATGGTACCYTCTCTTTTTCGTTCTGCAGCTCGAACTATTTTCTCCAGGAGCAGGTTGAAAAAGTCGCACGATAAGGAATTGCCTTGTCTGAAACCTCGATTTGGTGCTGGTCAACGTCAGCTTACACAGCCGTATAAGTTTTGCGGTGATACCTAATTCAGACATCGCGGCATAAAGGCAGCTCTTTTCGTGCTGTCGAAAGCAGCTTTGAAATCGACGAAGAGGTGGTGAGTGTCGATTCTAATTTCGCCTTATCAGTTCTTCACCGCCGTGTTTGAATAGCTCGGCCGGCAATCCATCGGCCCCCGCCACCTTCCTTGTGTTTGTTGGCGTGTGCATTTTTACTGCACAGAGGTGGGTGCGAATCTTGGCTGCAACAAGATAGTGGTCCAATAGAGTCCGACTGGTTACGACCTCGGAGCGCACGCACATCGCACATCTGTCTTCCGTCTATCACAACATGATCGATCTGGTTGATGGTTTTTCGATCCGGAGACTGCCAGGTAGCTTGATGAATCTTCTTATGCTGGAATCTAGTACTACAGATAACCATTTTTCGGGCCCGGCGAAGTCGATCAGCCTCAACCCATTTTGGATGTTTCCTCGTGGAGCCTGAATTTACCGACCGTAGTGCCAAAGATACCTTCTTTGCCCACCCTGGCGTTAAAGTCGCCAAGCACGATTTTGACATCGTGGTGGGGGCAGCTCTCATAAGTGCGTTCCATGCACTCATAAAAATCATCTTTGGTCACATCGTCTTTCTCTTCCGTCGGGGCGTGGGCGCAAATCAGCGATAAGTTGAAGAACCTCGCTTTGATGCGGATTGTGGCTAGACGTTCATTCACCGAGGTGAATGATAGTACTCGGCGAAGGAGTCTCTCTCCCACCACGAATCCCACACCAAAATTGCGCTCTTTTATATGGCCACTGTAGTAAATGCCGCAAGGACCTCGTCTCTGTCCTTGTACCGTCCATTGCATTTCTTGGACGGCGGTGATGTCAGTCTTTATTTTTATGAGGACATCAACCAGCTGGGCAGCGGCACCTTCCCAATTAAGGGACCGGACATTTCAGGTGCAAGCCCTCAATTCGTAGTCCTTATTTCGTTTGCTATGGTCATCATCAAAAGTGGGGCCTTTCATCCGAGGCTGTTGTTGCGTTTTCATTGGGGTGGTCTTTTTACGTGGCGGGTGCCAAACCCAGCGCACCACCCTATGCAGGGAATGGTTCGCCTTCTCACTTTAGCTCACCTTCAAACGGTTGTTCTTAGGCTACCCAGGGGATACTTAGTCAAGGACCGGAAGTCGTGAACCGCTTGAGTCATATGTAAAAGAATCGTTTCTTGCCACTGCCAAGTGAATGGCGATCAAAGAACTTTCCTCACTTGCGTGAACTTCTGCACATGACTCCATCCTCCGTTCCATACGTTTATAATTTACAAAAGAATCAAAAGATACATAGTATAGAATTCCTTTCTGTATTTGAGGCCTTCGGAGTCGCTTCAAAAAAATAACCCTCAGTCGGACCAACACCTGGGTGTGCTCAGTTCTTTTGCGTTGTACTGCTCTTTTCGTTGACGGCCTTCGGTCGCACTTTAAAAAAATATCGAACTCAGTTTGGCACAATTCCGATTTTTTTTGGCACCGCAAAGGTTTGAGATGGAAAAAGGAAATCCTCCCGAGGTTATAGGTACCGCAAACGCTTAGTTTACGAGATATTCGACCTTAAAGTTCATAAATTCGCAAAATTCGAATATAATTGAATTTCAATAAGCTATTTCACCACATTAAACACACTTTATTCTMATTTTTCACTTCAAATTAATTAAATTACACAACAAACTTTTAAATAAATCCACATTTTACACTTTTAGCAGGTTTTTTTTTTACCTAAAAAATCTTTATGTTAAAAATTACATTTTACACTCCTTTGAACCTCATTTGTTCACCAAAAATTACGACGAAATGAAGCCCTGCCATGTGATGATTAGGCAATTCGCTAAAACTCCTTTTTTTCGCAAAAATCCCTCTATATTCATGCATATGAATATTTTCTTTTTTAAATTTGATAAGCAAATAAGTAATTTTATATAATAATATTATGTAATAAAGTCTAAAGTATACAAGTACAGTAGGAAAATTCAAATTTTGTTTCAATATGAGTGCATGATAACCAACAAATATAACCACTTTAACCTCTTTATAATAAAAACTCAATCAGGGGTGTTGTGGAATCCAAGACAGAATTGCTTAGCTGTCAGAATTGCAAAAAAATTCTGATTTTAAATGATGTCACAGAATCTGATTGGATTTTCGTATTTTCAATGTACGAACCAGCTGTTTGCTAATGTGACAAAACTTGCAAATGAATACACCTATTATATTAAAGTTTTTATTAAAAAAAAGTATTATTTATTATCCAAAGTTATAGATGGGAATTCGAAATATTGTCGAAGCTAAAAAGGAAATAGTGACCGAGAGTCTAAGTCAGACTGCGAAAAATTTGACGCGCGATTTCTCGGTTTTTCAGCTTTACAATTTTTCTTAATTGGCGGGCAGGATAAAAAAAACTAAACGTCGTATGGATTGGGGCAAAGTTTATTATCTTTGACATTAAATTTTCTTCTATTTAAACTGAAATATACTAAGAAAATTTAAATTTGAACATATGTTTATGATAAAATTTTTTTTAGACAAAAAGGACTATGTTTAAATATATAGCTATCAATCCTATAAATATCATTTTTTTTTAAGGCTCTAAAAAAGGCTCCCCTCTTAAATATCCGCATTTTTTTCAAAAACTCAATAATTAAGACATTTAGTGTTTTATACTGATGTTTTCCCCTATAGAAATAAAGATAAATTTATTCGAAATAATAAAATAACTTTAGAAATCAAATCAATAAAATAACTAATCAAATCAATACATTTCAAATCTATATAAAAATGTTATATTACAATCATATAAATATTATAATATTATCACACGATTTTACTTATCTGTGTTTATTAAATATACATCACATATTATTCATTTATTCATATATGTATGTATATGGAAAAGTGTTCACATAATTTTAGCTTAAAAAATCTTCTTTATAGTTTTGTTTATAGTTAATAAAGAAAAAAAGAAATACTCGAAAGTACAAACAAAGAAAAGGCTGTGAAATGCTGAAAAATCCTTCACTTTTGGTTTTTAAGGTGTGGCAAAGCTTCGTAAATATAAACACTCTAAACTTTTCAGCCATAAATTTTATAATTACTAAGTTTAGCTGAAAAATTACAAAATAAATGTGAAATGTGAGCTTATTACAATGCTTATAGTGTATATTTAAATATCCATATAAAAACAAGTGAAGAAGGGCTAAGTTCA